TTTTTTCTCTTAGTGTGATTGGGGTACTATTGTGGGAGGATTGATGAGCAGAGGACTTTGGTATCTTAGCAGGGGTGGGATGCTACCGTTTCTGCCCGGCTCTATAGAACCGGTAGCTCTGAAGAGCAGCAGACACCGAACCGGTTCTGTGTCTGCTGCTGTATGGCCCACCTGCCTGCCTGGGCTCTTACCTGTCCTTTATTTCACCCGTGCACAGCGCTTATCAACTGTCTGATGGCATAGCTGAAGGTTTATTACACGCGCACACAGTGCACAAAACGTAATCACCGAACCTGTAGTAACACCAGTTGAATCCCACCCCTGTATCTTAGCAATGTTTTTACCTCAGAAGTGTCACCTCAGAAGTGTTTTACCTCAGAAAAACAGAAATACTGAATACTTCTCTGCTTAAGTTACTACTTAATCCAGTAGCAAGATAAAGGCTTTTAATAATTAAAGTTTGCACAAAATGTAGATAATTTAGTTTTTAAAGGGTTCAACCTGCATAAGAAATCAAGTACAGCCAATGTTATTTTGCTTACATTTTCAAAGAAATTAACATTTTAAAAAAAATTATCTGAGTAGGAGTTTTAAGTATATTGGAAAACAGCAACTTTGTTAAAATCTACATTCATTACGATTTAAAAAAGAAAAAAACCCAGATCTGATTCTCAATTTATTTATTTTTAATTTATTGTTACAAATAAGTATAAACTTGAAAAGCCAGATATAAAAAATAGATAGCAAATTATTTGATACATATCATTGATGGAAGAATTTTATGTAATTTCATTGACATGGACCAACAGTCTTCTGCATTTTAAAGGACTTGTTATTATTACTTTTTCCTAAGTTTTTTACTGTTTTCCTTGGAAAGTTCTACAAGTGTGTATGGATATTGCATGAATACTGGTTTGTCAGGTAATCAATTTGTTATAAAATTATTTTGCATCAGTGTCTGCTCAATTGCTGTTTCTTTTTAGCTTGGATGATGACATCAAAATTTCATAAATCGGAAATAGTATGGCTCAGTTGCTTACTGCTTTGTAAATTAGACTGGAAAGTTCAACATAATTTGGGTCTTTGCTTATGCTTGTGTCAAAAAGCCAGGCATGTTTAATAAGCATTGACTGATTTAACTTGAAAATCTTGCTAGAAAATCATGGGAAAATGGAAAAAATGTGCTTCTATCTTATCCTGCAGATTAACAGTTTATTCAGAGCTCAAACATCTGAACACACATGCTGCTGACGCAGTTGTGAAGCAGCTGGTGGAGAAATCTCCTGTTATAAATGTCTATCTGTCTGCATTTTTATAGGATATCCTGTTAAGCCATAGAGGCTTGTTTACTTGTAAGAGTCATGCTAAATATGGTGTGTAATCTGACAGCTGACTTCCATGCCTAAAGGGAATCAATGACAGCTTGGAGGAACATAAAGAAATTTATTTTGATTTCAGTAAAAGTAGTAGCCTTACAAAGCCAAGGATTGTAAGAAAGCTCCTTGAGGAAAAGCTAATAAAACATTAAATAGAATATAATTAAAATTATGCATGTAACGTAGCATTTTAGGATCTTGACCGATGAACAAGAAAAAATAAATTATTTTTATTTTACTTAGTTTAAATTTTCATTGATTTTTTTTATAATCTTTGTTAATTTGGTTCCCGTTGAGAATTTTGACATGTATAAGTATCTGAATACTAAATTCTGTGACTGTGTATTTGTCTTTTTGCTCTTTTACCCCCATCCACCTGTTCAAAATTTTCAGCTCCACTTAACAGTTGTTCAAGAGAGCTTTTGGAGGGAATCCTTCCTTGAATTCTTCTAGACTTTTTTTTTTTTTGCATCAGGTTATCCATGTAAATAGTGCCAACTGGGAAAATAAGGGAACCATTCAGTTTTGGAGTTGATTACTTACCCCACTGAGCTTACTATTGAATAATCAGTTTAAGAATCTTTTTGATAGAATTGCATCTTAAGATTAATGCTGCATAAAGTTAAACTGTAAAGCTGTAGACTTTATTTATATTAGTATAAAAGCTATCACAGGCCCAATCTAGATCAATCTGTAATGATAATAGGAACTAAACCAGGGGTCTTCAAACTTGACACCTTTAAGACTTGTGGACTTCAACTCCCAGAATTCCTCCTCCAGTCATGTTAGCTCAGGAATTCTGGGAGTTGAAATCCACAAGTCTTAAATTTGCCAAGTTTGAAGACCCTTGAACTAAACTATTGCCTACTTTCATTTCTTCCTAAAATTGCAACAACTGTTTTATTATTTTACTTATACAAGTTATTTTATAAATCTCTCAATGACTTAAGGACCCTTAGGCTGTGGTTGGGTGAAAAGAGTTAATTTTACTGTGTCTTGATAGTATCTGCCATATCTGTAACAGTATCTATTCTATAAGAGTAGCCAGGTTAGTGTAATGGTTAAGGGATCAGACTAGAAACTCAGAGGCTGTGAGTTCTAGTCCCACCTTAAGCACAAAGCCATCAGGGTGACCTTGGGCTAGTCACTTTCAACCCAAAAAAGCAGGCAGTGGCAAACCATTTCTGAAAAAAAAATTTCTAAGAAATCTTCAGGGACTTGTCCAAACAGTTTGCAAGGATCAGACACAATTGAATGGAAAGGTAAAAAAAGATCCAATGGGAGGTTGATACAGATGATAGCCCCATTGCTATGGAAAATATAATCAAAGCTATAGTATTGTTCATGCATCAAAATATGACATGCTTTCCATATGTATTTATATGTGTATATGTAAATCCACATCCACACACACACGCACATATATAGATATATATGTCTGTCTGTCTGTCTGTCTGTCTGTCTGTCTATCTGTCAATATTATCCAAGTCTAGTGAGATTTTCTGGTGCTAGTGAGAAGCAGTATTTATGAGAAATGTTTGAACAGAGTAGAAGACCGAATTGCTATTCTACAATTGCAAATGTGTGTATGTATTGTATGTAAATGGGAGATCACCAGGACTGTAGCTAAACAAGAAAGAAAAAAGAAAAGTAAATCACAATAATTAAGAATATTCCCCAAACATTTCAGCATTGTTGGCAAGAGCCTACATGGTTATGTCTATGAGGTCACTAGGAGTTGAGCTTCTTGGCAATGTTACTTTATGTGATATAATGACTGGTCCTAGAATTACTTGTGCCTAAACAGGCAGGAAAGTTTGGGGTAGGTGGAGCACCACAATAATTGGGCAGTTAATCCAAGAAAAGCAGATATCAGGACCCAAATGTATATAGTCTTCTTCATTAAATGTATCAATTTTTTTCTTTTTTAAAAATTTTCTTGTGAAATCTCGCACCTGAAGGAAAGGTTGAAATTTATTTTTGGGGAAACAGTTTATTAATATTTGTATTATTAAAAGAAATTGATAAAACAAATATAATAAAAGTTTGTAATTTTTAACAAAGTATCGATGCCTTGCATATTTATTTTACCTAGTCAACTGAAAAATACTGAAAGCATTTTATTATAGCAATACCGGAAGGTGAAAGAAGACTACAGGCATTCCTGCACAGCTAAACCACTTAGCTTTTTTATCTGTGGAATGTGAACTTGCAAATGAAACTTTAGCGGTGTACTATAATTCACTATTTTGCAATAAGGAGGCCTGAGAAATAAAGCTTTAAACAAGCCATTCTATTATACAATGTTTGCAGGTACTTTAGTCAGAAATATGAAAGGTAAGGGTAAGTACACGGGCATATGGGACGTTTGTGATATATTTGCAGTCATACTGACTGGGAATTTTAGAGGACTGAAATGACTCCATACGAGTTTCAGCCCTTGCATATTTTGGACTCAATTTTGGTAATAACAATTTCATTTTTAAAACAAATGATAGCTTTGTACTTCAGAAGTTGAAAGAACCAGAGAGCTGTCTACCATGTCTTCATGGTATGTCGGGATTTGAAAATAAAATCAAAGTAGAGATTCAGAGAAGCATTTTTGACAGTAAGGAAGCATAGTTTTCAAATGCCTAGTATGCTGTCGTTTAGTTTTGAAAAAATGCTGACTTAAAGACTGAACAAACACTTCTGTGTTGTGATGTAGCATCCCAAGTTTGAAAAATAGTGCTAAAGCAATTTTTGCTGCAAAAATGTTACCTTGTTTTGTCTTTTAGGATTAGAATAGAATAGAATAGAATAGAATAGAATAGAATAGAATAGAATAGAATAGAATAGAATAGAA